AAATTAAAATGTTTTTGTTTAATAATAAAGATTATATATTTAATATTTAATATTCCATTTTACAATTATATAATTATAACGTTAGAAAAATTCGTTATTTTATCTAGTTTTATTAGTATTTTTTATTAATTTATAAATTTAAAAATTATTTGCATAGAAAATTTGAATTGTAAATAAAGTAATAATAGAATATATTTATTATGGTTTCATGCATACTTTTAAACATTTGAGAATTGTAAATAATTATTATTATTTAAATAAAAATTAAATGTTATGTTAGAAAATATAAATATCTATATATCACACAATGTAGATGTCCATTAGACATCTATGATGAATTTACAGACGACATTTTTTATGGAAACTATATGGAGTTCTATTAGAAATCCATCCGACATCCATTGTGGAGATAGATGTCGAATGGAGCTATGGAAGTTATATGGACGTCCATTAGATGTGTCATGTGTGGGATTTTTATCAATAAATAATTTTTTCTACCTGAAGATTCTCATACATAAATTTCTCCTGTGACTCGAGAACAGTCATCCCTACGATAACGGCAGTGTTTTTTTTCGCAATTGCATTGGATTGATCCCCGCGTCGACAATTGCTTCATAAGCATGTTCCAATAATAATCTTGCCATAGGATCGAGCGCGTGGACTTGCTCGATAGATATGTTGAAGAAATCAGCATCGAATTTTTCCACATCGTTAACTATCCCCATGCGTTCTGGTAAATCCGGATGCTCTAACGAAATTTCGTAATAATTGTAATACTTGTATTGTGTTCTTAGTATATTTTTTATGTAAAACATTTTGATTAAAAACATATATTTTTCTAATGTATAATTATCAAAGAAGGGAAATCATAAATAAAAGGATAAAATCAATATATATAAATTATAATCACCTATGTCCCATCGACGATGATCTGCTCTAACAAGATCAACCTTGTTGAATAGATTTTCTCCTAACTGATTCATATTATTTGAATCTGAAAATCTTCCAGCGATACCGGAAATAACGATTTCATCGCCAGAATTAATATTAATGTATGTCTTTTCCGTCATGATATCAACCCAGCAAACACAGAATATAACTGCTATATAACATGGGAATA